TATTGTAATTGCTTTGATCATAGGTTGACCTCCCAGATTCTCTGAGTATGTTCTTACAGTTTTGTTCTGTTCTCGATTCTTCTATCTGTCAATTTAGTTCTGGGAGGTGCTGCCACGTATGTCAGTCTCTGGTTGTTATCTGTTCTTGTTGGTTCTCAGTCCACAGAACTCCCTTTAGGATGTTTTGTAGCACAGGGTTGGCTTGGGAAAAATCCCTTAGCTTCTGTTTAGAATACATGTCACATTTGATCGATAGCTTTGTTGGACAAAGGATTCTTGGTTGGCAGGGTTTTGTTTGTTTTTGTTTTTTAAGGTTTTATATATGTCTCTCCTTTGCCTTCTTGCCTGCATGGTTTCTGCTGAGAGATCAAAGCTCTATCTGGCTTGCTTGCCATTGTATACAACACTTCTTTTTTCACTAGCTGCGTTCACTAGCTTTTATTTTGGAAAGCTTGATTATGATATAGCTCAGTGACTTTCTTTTGTGGTCTGCCCTTCCGGGGTTTCATTGAGCTTCTTAAATGGTTATCTTTTGACTTTTCAAGATTGGGAAATTTTTCTTCCAGAAGTTACTCGAATATCTTTTCTGTTGACTTGTGTGATTCTTCCTGTTCCAGAATGCCGATAGTTCTTAAGTTATTCCTCTTCATGTTGTCCAACATGAATCTTAGACCTTCTTCAGATTTTTTTTTATCGTTTTTTCTGTTTGCTTTTCTATCTTAGTGGTATAGAGAGCTTTGTCTTCTAGCTCACTGCTTCTGCCTCCTGTCTCTTCTATTCTACTCCTTTGCCCTTTCAGTGTATTGTCTATTTCTGATATTCTATTATTCATTATTTGAACCTCTTTCTATAGGTTTTGAATTGTTTTCAATGCTGTATCTATTTTATTTGATTGTTCTTGTAGCACTTTCCTGACTTCTTCCTTATTTTTCTCAACTCCATTGTAAAGTGTTTTGAAATATTTTGTCCTTGTTTTTCTGAATTCCTTCTCAGGCATTTCTAAGGTCTGCCCTCCTTCCAGATGGAGTCCAGGTCTATCTCTAGGTCATTTGTCTCAGACATTTGATCTTGTTTCAGGACATGTGCTGATATGGTCATCTGTTTTTGCTTCTTGGACATGTTTAATGTTTATCTGTGGTCTTAATACTTAATTGAGTGTGTGTCTTGGTATTTTTTATGCTTTCTGATTGCCTCCAGGTAATTGTGATCAGGAGCTTGGCTTCCCTTTTCACTCTTCTTATTGCTTAACTCAGAGTAACTTTTGGAGATGTTGTCTGTCTCCCTTGTGTATGGTAGTTGGTATTGGTTCTTGCCTTGATTGTGGGGTTTTATAGGTGTGATTGTGTCTTGACTATATGGCAGCAGTTTTTGTGTCTTCTTAGGTAATATATAGGGAAAGAGTCCC